CTTCTTTCTCGGTGATTTTGTAATGCCGACTCGGTTCTCTTTACAACTTTTCCAAGCGTACTTTTAGATTTGTATGAGGGTGATGTAGCAAACACAGACTTTGGTTCTGATTTCTATCTTTCTCTTGTTCAGCCTCCAAAAAGATCATAAAAATAAGTTAAGGTAATTATATTTTTTAACATTTTAGTGTTTTTTTTAGATCTAGAGTTAAAATAGAGTTTTTATTGTTCTTAAAAAAAAAGTGTCTTAAAAATAAAATTATTGGCACCCTCATTGTCACAGCGTGATAATTGTGATAATAATATTTGACTAAAATAAATGGCTTTTTGATTTCTTGTAGCAACATTTAGTTTTTTAAGTACATGTTTAGTAGCAATAATTAGTCCAGCCAAAACGCTGATTGTGATGAGCAAAACAGTTTCTGAAACGTTTAAAGGTTTGATTGAACTTTGATAGTTGAAAATGAGTTGAAACATCGGGAAAATACGTATTTTTACTTTATGTTTCAGCCCATATTATTTTTATGATAGCGGCATATTATATAGAGTAAAACAGGGTAAAATGAAAGGGTAGAATGAAATAGTTATGACAAAGTTTATTCTTTCGCTCTTAATTAATTATTGAACAATCTTTTTACAAATATTTTCAGATAAGGTTGTAAAGAATACTTTTTTGAGTATGATGATATCAAATTTGATTTTTAATAAAAAAAATATTGTTACAAATAGTTAAGTTTTAGAATGCGTAATAAGATTTTTTTTATTATGTTGAAAAATGAACTTAAAACTCTCGGAAATTAAATTTGATATTATTGAACCTAAAAGGATTTATAGTAAATATTTCCATTTTTATATTTATTATATTTTTTTATCTTTGAATGATTGTTGATCAATAGTCAGAGTTGCATCAGCAGTCCAGAGAGATTTTATGAACTGCTTATGTATTTAATGATTTTTTCTGGTTTAATAAAGTTGTTGACACTGATTGAGTAAAGATTGAGATGCAAAATTGATAGTTGAAAAATAGATATATTATTCTGCCTAAAATGCCACTAAAGGTCACATCTGGAATGCTACAAAAGATCACTTCATGGAAAGAAGCAAAAATGGAAATATTTTAAATTTTCTTTTTACGCTGATCAAAAATCTTTTTTCAAAATTAAATTTGCTATTTAAGAAAAAAAGTTATGAGTAAAAAACGGAAAAGGAGAATTGTGGGGTTAAATAAAATACGCAAATAATAAGTGAAGCAATTCTTAAATGCGGCTTTTTTTTTAATTAATTCTCAATTGACCAATAAATCTCCAAGTTTTTGTATAAATTTCAAAGAACGAATTTTTCTATCTAAATTTAAAGGAATGACTTTTACTGATTTCTTTTATTAAATGATTCTAATAAATGAATGAAATACGCTAGTTGCTTTCTTGTTAAATGCGGGTTTTATTAATTAATTAAGTCTCAAGTGACCAAGCAATCTCTATAAATTTTGTGCATAAATTTCAAACCGATTGTTATTAAATCTATTTTAATATAAAACATGCCTCGAAACAACTTGCGTGCAAAGAAAAAAGAAAAACTATACACCGAAGAGCAAGTTGCGCTTGCGGTGGCCAAAGTACAAAGCGGTAAATTTTCACTTAAAAAATCTGCTAAATCATTCAGCATACCAGTAGCAACTTTTCACAGGCGTATCCACTGTATAGGTGAAACAATTAGCAGTGGTTCAAGCACGAGATTGTCCCAACAACTTGAATCAGTTCTGGTAGATCCGCTCTTCAAATTATTCGATTGGGGCTTTGGTAGAACTTACAATACCGTCGCACTGGTTACCGACTATTTGCAACATCAAGGTCAATCTCATTTGTTTCCGAATGGTACAGGAATAGATTGTTATAGGCTTTTCATAAAACGGTGGAGTCATAGGTTGAGCATCAGAGCCATAGGCAATATTTCATCACTCAGAGCCGCTTCTTGCATGCAAGAAGTAGTAGCAAAGTATTTCAACACACTGGAAAGAGAATTCACCATAGCAGGTATCAACGAAAACGCTCCATGTAATTTGTGGAATTTTGATGAAATTGGCTTCTCTGGTGATCGAGGTAAGCAACACATTGTTTGCCGGCGTGGTGCAAAGCGGCCATTGAAATTGGTTGGCAACAATGAAAAAATCCATTATACTGTTGGAAATTGCATTAATGCTGCTGGCAATCGTCTTGTTCCATACACTATTTTTAAATCAAAAAAACTTTTGTACAGATATTGGTGTGTAAGTGGTCCAGATTACGCCATATACGCCATATCTCCATCAGGATGGATGGAAGATAAGCGATTTGTGCAGTGGCTCACTGAAGTGTATGTTCCGCCATAAAGAAAATTCCAGGTATTTAGTTCAATCTAATTATTATTATTTAATTTTACATTTAAAAAGGATTACATCTATATAATTATAGTTATCTAATTTTAGGCATTCATATTTTAGTCGTAGATGGATATGTGACACATGTAACTTATCGGGTCGTACTTATTTGCTTCTAAAACAATATCTTGTTAATTTGCTTACCAGCTCTCTCGTCTCACATTCTGCAGCCACTAGATGTTGGTGTTTATTGCAATGTCAAAAGAGTTTGGCGTTAGTTACTTCAACAACTTTTATGCAGACACAAAGATCAGCAACTTATCAAAATAATGTTTTAGTCACCTGAAAAAAAAAACTCTTCAGCTCTGGTGAAGTTTTTACGCGTACCCAAATAGTCACTGGGTTTCATAATACTGGCTTGTTTCCACTCGACACCAATAAAATCGATCAGTCAAAGTTGCAAATTGCTAATACATTTGAAACCCCGTCATTTTAACATGAGTCTTCATCATCTCAACAACCAGAATCTATATTAGTACCATCACTAACGCTAGCACCAGGAATTGCACTACCTCAGCCACTCCCCTCTCAGCATATGTCACATAGCATCTGCTCCAAAGTCACCTTAAAGGTTACGCTGTCTACAAACAACCAACCTTATTGTAGCAACTCCAACTATTCGAAAAGAAATTCAAAAAGAGGTTGAAAAACAGCTGCAATCAGCCAATTGCTTGCAACAGCTTTGCAACAAATGTTTCGTATTCAACACATTGACACACAAAAAAAGAAAAAATGTAGATGTGCCAAGATTCGATGGGGAGTGTCTCAAAAAACCTGAAATACTTGAAAGGTTGAAAGATGCTAAGAGCAAAAAAGCAGCAAAGCAAGCTAAAAAACAACGTAATGTTAGCTTTAATGGCGAACAGCAAATAAACCAAGCAACAAGTCCAGCCAAAATATTAGCTGCAAACCAATTCAAGTGTAAAAAGTGACGAAAAGTTTTAGGCGAAGCTTCAGCAAGTCAAAATAGTGAATGGTACCAGTGTGAAAATTTAAATTGCAAGGTTTGGCTATGTTAAACATGCATACCTAAGCGATATGTAAAAGGCGCTAAGTTTTATTGCACTAAAAAGTGCCGCATAACTGAAAACTCAACTCAACCTCTAGCACCTCTAAACGACTTAACATCATCACAAGAATAAATAAAAAAATTTATTTGATTAAATTTTTAATTTTTATTATTGACTGTTTTTTTAATTGTTATTCTTGATTGCTTTTCGTTTATTTAATAAAGTATTGTTTTAATTAGACATTTGCGTATTTCATTCTCCCCGTATGTAGGTGTAGAATGGAATAATTTTTTTTTTAATCATGTAAAGTTTTATAAAAAACTTTATTTTTTTTTTTTTAATTTATATAAATTAAAATATATATATATATGAATATATATATATATATATATATATATATATATATATATATATATATATATATATATATATACATATATATATATATATATATATATATATATATATATATATATATATATATATATATATATATATATATATATATATATATATATATATATATATATATAGGATTGGAGGATACGGTCAATTAATATGCATGTTCAGCAATTATATGTATGTGTGTGTGGGCATTTCTATTTTTAAGCGTGATTTTGTATTTTTTTTTTGTTTTCACAATTAGATGTTGTTACTTAAACCAATTTGCATACTATTATGATTTCCTTAAAATTTTAGAACAATTACATGAAAAATGTTTTGATAATTTTATTTTTTGTAAGTGGTAAAGTCGCAATAGTTTGAAAAATATTTAACATTTTTCAAAACGCTATACTTTAGCTAGAAATAATTGATGATGTTTCTCATCGAAAATTAGATAGTTGTATATATTATATATATATATATATATATATATATATATATATATATATATATATATATATATATATATATATATATATATATATATATATATATAGCATAGATAATACAATCGCACCTAATCATATCTCTTTAAGCAAGTCCGAATATAGGTTGGATAAAAAAGCAAGCTTAAATCTTTTTATTGCGCATATTGCCTTTGTCACTTTACCTACGATTCAAATGTCTTCCTTTTCACGACTAAAAAAACTAATTTTAAGGTACAATTATATAGCAGCTGTTTTTGAGTTTCGTGATGCAATCTATCATTGGTATTCTTTTCATTAATGAACATCATGATGCTCAGCACACTTAAACGACTTTTAAACTAACCAAACCACGCTTAGTCTAAAAAAACCAAACCACGCTTAGTTTGAACATTGACAAGATCGTATCGATATGTATGAATATGGACAAGATCATATCGATATTGACATAGTTGTGTAGTATTTCCATAGATATTTGCAACGCTAAAGGGTTTTAACATTTTCTATAAAAATTATTATAAGGTATTTATAGGTACATATATAGACCTATAAATATGATATGTATGAATGTAAACAAATGATTTCGTTAAGAATATAAAACAACAGAGGAAATATTTTGCGTGTGGTGAAAAAAAAGTTTATACCAGCAAACTTTGCATCAGTTATTTCCTTCTTCAATTTATATTTTATTACATTTTTTTGAAAATTTTGTTTCGATAATATTTATTGTTACTTTTTTTACTATGCTAATAAATACATTACAAGCAAAATTTTAATTATAATTTATTTACATATATTTTCAAAAATAATTTAATTTTGTATTGTTAAATAAATGTTCTCAGTCCCCGTTAAATACGCAGTGTTTTAACAACTGCATAAAAAGGTCCGCATAAAAAAATGATTTCAGTCCAGGTAAACATGCAGTGTTTAAACGTCTTTAAGTCCGCATAAAAACTATTAGACATCTTCTAAATTATGTCCAAACTATGTCTTGTTTTTACTGGGGTATTTTTTTACGTGTCATGTTGATGCTTTAAACTGCTTTAGTTTTTGTATAAAATTGATTCTAAATTTACTTTATTGCGTAAAGTTGATGCCTTAAATTGCTTCAGCTTTTGAGTTGAACAAGTCAGTCAGCTTTTGAGTCAAGTTTAAGATGATGATACCTCTTGCTCATTTTTGATTGCAGATAAATCTAGTTTTTTAAAGATAATAATGCGAATTTATCTGTACAATATCCATAACTAAAAAGACGACCAGAATGTTTTTTAATTTGTGTCTCTAGAAATAAAGTGTTTTTCTTCTTCCATGTTTTTCTTGTTAACATCATCTTTAGTTGAATCAGACTTTACAAAGACTGTCTTTTTTTTAATTAGCTCGTGCTCATTTTCAAGATCCGCTAATGAGCGAGCCGATCGACTTCTATGAGTATACCTCATTCTAATGTGATGAACTACGCATGCTGCAGATATCAATATTATTATTGTTCCGATAACAATTGCAGCCGTTATCCATACTATTACACTTTGACTAACGCTTGTTTCTTTGGTATGAAATTTTTCGATCTGTTAAATAATTGATAATTTTCTTAAATGTCACATTTTTACAGTATACATAAAAAATAAAAACCAATATAAACAATTTCAAATATAAAGTTAAATAACTTACTATTCTTTCATTGACTTCTATAATCTTTATATTATTGGAACCTGTTGCGAAATTGTTATCATTAATCTCATCTGAAATAAAATAGATTAAAGATTTAGATAAATCTTAAAATTCTTAAATAATCTAAAATAGTAAGCAACATAAAAAAGAACACGGCTTTAAAAAATATATAAACTTAAAAAAAAGAACCACGTAAAAAGTAAGTCACTTAAAAATCACCTTTAGGTTTAGATTTTACAGAACAAATACATTTTTCAAAAATCATTTATCATTTTGTGTTTAAAATCATCATAAAAGTCAACGCTTACTTCTTTTTGTTGTTGTTGTTGTTGATTGTGTTGTTGTTTTTGCAATAACAATATTGCTCTTGTTATATGAACAACCAATGCGAACGTGGCCAACTTTTTCAATGTTTTTATTTATTGTATGCAGAACTTTGTATATGACATCATCCTTAAAATACGTGCATATATACAAAAACCAATTAACACAATTATACTATTCTTTTATTCATTTTCATAAAAATTATACAAATAAAATATGGGGAGTACACATAAAACAAAACTAAAATCTTTTTATCTGGATTAGAAATACGCAGCACGAATAAAAAATTTTAAAATCGTTTTTCGAGTTCTGAACCACTTTTTAAAGAAAATGTAAATGTAAAGAAAAACTAAATGCATTTAATGTTTTCTGTTTTATGTACAAATGTAAAGAAATTATGTCCCCTGATGTTTTGTAAATCTTTAATAGCACTCTTAAAAAACTATTTGCAAAAATAGACAAGTTCAATTTTGTATATCTTATAGTGGACCTTTCCTTTGGAATGAAATAGTACTACCTAATTTTGCTTTTTGAACAAAAAATATTCTTGATTTTTTTTTAATTAAAAAAAAATATTTTTTCACTTGCTATACGGCATATTGATTTGTTATGTTTTATTGTAAGTTACATTTGTGAAGTATGTACAGTATTAAGTTTATGATATTTAGGGGTTATATATTTTCTATATATACCCGGTGGGATTATATTACGACACAACTCTAGCTACAATAGCCAGTGAGTTTTTAGCTTATTAAGCTATATGTCCTCGTAGCTAAATCTCTGTCTTAATCTTTACAAATATCGATAGCTTTTCGCTAACTTAAAAAAGATAGCGATCCTCGTGGCCACATTTCCCACCAGGTATTTTATAAGATATATAGATTTTTTTTTTATTGTAGAAGAAAATAGATTTCTGTATTGTTAAAGGCTTCTTGGTAAGGTCATTTAGATCTTCTTGATGTCCTCCCCGTATAATATTATGAATATTATTGAATATTATCATAATATATTACCTTATTGAATTCAATTTGTTGAAGACACCCAACAAAGTTCTTCATTGAGTTCACACCATATATGTATTTTGGGAATGGTACGCCACCAAAGTATACTGGTTCTTGATCGAAGCTATCAATTACACTTGTTGCCTTTATGGTGAAGTTGCTTTTATATATTGAATCTAAAACTACGGTTACAACATTGCCTTTTTTAGTGATATCTACTGAGTGCCATTGAGAGTCCATTACATCCAGTTGATGTATAACCTCAGATGGAACTTTAAAATAAAAGTTAATCAAAAGTTATATTTTGATTTTTAACCTTCGATGGAACTTTAAAATAAAAGAAATTAAACAAAAGTTTTAGTTTTGAAACAAAAAAAATTAACTAACAGTTAGATAGATAATTAGTAAATCGAAGAGAAATAAAGTAACATATAAGAAAAATAAAAAATAGAAACAAAATAAAGTTATACCCGTTGTAGTAGAGCCGCCAGCAACTCTTAATTTGCCATCTACAACTTCAACTAAAAGTAATATTCCTTTTCGCTTTGTGTAGAAAAGTATTCCGTTGGGGTTAGCGATTTTATATCTGAACCTTAAGTAAACAGCAGTCGCATATAAGTCGTTTACATTCCATATAAGGTAATCATCGTCATCTTGGCTTATGGTGTCAGCATCTGAGACGCAAAAATTTTTTGATAAAATAAAATTTATGTGGCTACAGATAATTATCATATACTACAGAAAGCCTATAAAAAATTTTCAATACAATGCTAATATGTTTCTTTTAAATGTAAACTTAAAAACAGTTGCCGATTAAGATGAACAACAGCCTTGTTTTTTTTTGTGATAATTTCTTAAAGTTGAACTATTTTTCGAGTGTCTTAACATTAGCATCAAAAGAAGCGGTTTAAAGTTCAGACTTTGGAAAAAGTTTTGTAAAGTAAAAAGTAATTATCTAAATTTAAATATAAGAGTAAATTTAATTTAAACATTTTATTTTTTCTGCTATAAAACTGCTCCACCCGCACTCCACTCCGCACTCCATCCGCACTCCACTCAAAATATGTTAATAAAAACATTTAATTAACAAATGATTCAGTTGAAAAATTGATTTACGCTTGATCTCTTCTGTATTAAATGAGAAATAATTCTTTTTTAATTGACAATTACAAAATTTCAACATGTAAAATAACAAATTTTTTGCTCCAATTTACTTACCGCCTTCGTGCGGCTTACGAACTCGCCATCCCCGCAACCCAAATATATATATATATATATATATATATATATATATATATATATATATATATATATATATATATATATATATATATATATATATATATATATATATATATATATAAATATATATATATATATATATATATATATATATATATATATATATATATATATATATATATATATATATATATATATATATATATATATATATATATATATATATATATATATATATATATATATATATATATATATATATATATATATATATAATCCGTTAATAAAATAAAATTTCCTTTATTTATTTGTAGAAAATAAATGACCATAAAGTCCGTTACATTTATAGTTTCGTGGCGAGTATAGAAATGAGAAATATTTTTTATTTCTTTTTTTCTTTTTTCTTTTCTTTGCGGGCGGGTAAATGAATGGATTTTTAATATTTTTTTTATTTTTTTCAATTTTTTACATAACTTTCAAGTAAAAGAATTTTGTTAAGTTAAGCATAATATTGATTCACTTAATTTATCAATAATGAATATCTTATATTGGTATTTATGTAACTTGGTTTCCGTTAGATACAGTACATTAGATTTTATTAAGTACAGTTTCCATTAGTTACGGCACATTAGTTTTTGTTGAGATATATCTGTGGCATAAACTTAAAGAATAAAGAAGATTTTTTGAGATAAACAAACAAGTAGTTTTATTAATGATTTACAGTGGAGCTAACGTTCAATACCATTTATTTTGTTAATCAAATAAACAGCATTTTTAATATATTTTTCTTTAAGATCGTCATTTACGTCCTTATCAAAATAATCCGGATTAAAAAATTTTTAATAAGTACTGTGCTCTATAGTAAAGAGTTTGATATATTTATCGAATTCATTAGGATTGTGCCATTGTACTTTTACAATTGTACACTTTGCACTATTATCAGAGGCGGTAATTAGATTTGAATCGTTGTTTATTATCATATGTGTATTCTATTTTCATCGGCACGAATAGTTTTCTCTAAAAAAGAAACAATATGTAACTTCATGAGGCTCAACTAAGATACAAAGAATTTATTAAAACAGTTGAGAAAAATCAAAATGAAATAAATAAACATTTAGAGTTTAATGGTTATATCCAATTTTAATTAGAAAGTACCCCTCCTCTATGGTAATACCTGGTTGCACTAATGATTAGTTAGATCAACATTTAAACCTTTTAGCCTAATTTCGACGCTCTTTATTGATAAAATGAATCGGTTATATCTCCCAACTACTAATCATCGTAAAAGTCAAATTAAGAACAAATAAAGTTTTTTTATAAATTTTATTTTTTATAAATTGATTTTAAAGCTAAAATATAAAAACAATATGTTAAAATTATTATAATTTTTCTTTTATGAATTTCAATTAAAATGATACATGTAAATCCTCAAACATTAATAATCTTTGTCATATATATATTTTATCATTATTATAAAAAAAATTTAGATTTTTTTGTTTTTAAAACGTTTTAAAGTAATTTAGAAAAATAAAGACTCAAATAAATAATAAGAAAAGCATCTTGCTGTTTTTTGTATATTAAAACACGTTTTTTTCAGACTCAAGCGCACATGTACACGTATTAACTTAGGTATAATCACAAAAAACTTGCATCTTTTTATAGAGATAGGAAAAAAACAATTTTAAATTTATTCCTTGCTACACCCTATTAAACCCTATCTACTCCCATATACAGCCTATTTGGGTAAATACCTCTATTCCATTCAGTTGAAGACCCATCTTTGCAGAAATACTGCAGCAAACTTAGATAACAAAGAAGATTTTTAGTACTTACAGTTGTTACAAATTTCTCCAGTAAACCCTGTTCCAAAGCAATCGCATGCTGCTCTTGTAAACAAGTTTATGCATTTTCCTTTATTAGCGCATGTATTGAGGCTACAAGAATCTAAGCAGTTCGGGGCGATTCTTTCACTTTTTAAGAATGTTTGAGCTGGTTTTAAGTATGTATTGCCTGACGAGTATTGAAGCGACTCAATGCAACCAACAAATCTAAGGGATTTATAAAGCAAATATTATCTATAATTGAAATGAATTAAAATTTAAGAATTAATTAAAACTTCAGAATTAATTAACTCTGCACAAATAAATGTCGGCTAAAAAAAAACATTTATCAATCGAATATTAAACAAACTACTTAATAAATTAAATAATATTACACGCTTGATTAATTTTTGATAATCTTAAGTTGTAAAAAAAAAAAAATTAAAAAAAAAAAAAAATATATATATATATATATATATATATATATATATATATATATATATATATATATATATATATATATATATATATATATATATATATATATATATATATATATATATATATATATATATATATATATATATATATATATATATATATATATATATGTAAATTAATTAGAAATAAAAATAAGCTCAAGAAAATGTTTCATAAAAGCTAAAACTTAAATTAAAATTAAAAAACAGGAAACAAAAATAACAAAATTTAATTCCCACCCATATATACTAATAGAATTACTAAAAACTTAATATACCTAGGTTTAAGTTTGGCAAAACCAAATGAACTTTTTGTTTTTTCTTCCGATAGTCCTCCAATATAAAGATAAGAATTTATTTGAAATTTGTCGTCATTACTTGAAAAATCAAGCAGTGCAACGTTATTATCAACTGACACTTGCAATGTACCTATGTATTTTGTTACAGTTAGAGTATGCCATTCTAGATTGTTCACATTTTCTCCTAATGATAAAACTTGTTTATGGATTTCTCCGGACAATTTAACCGTTTGCTTTATTACTTCAACTTGACCCTTATTAAGTGAAATTTCTAGATAATTTCCTTCGCTATTATTTTCTGCATTTTCTAAACCATCTTCTGATTTATCATCCACATATAACAATAAGCTGTACTGGCTTTGAGTTTTAAAGTTCAGCACCAGTTTCCCAACCGTTGTTATATTCCATTTATCATATACGGCGTACGATTTGGAGTTATCGAACAAAGTTATACAATCGAAAAATTGAATGCACCATATAAAAAATAAAATCAATAAATATCCATTTTTATTAAATAACGTAAACATTCTTCATTAAACCCAATATACATTAGAAATTTACAGATTCTTTATCTGTGTTCGCTTTTATCTTTCGCGTAACAAACGGTTAAAGATTTTGACGAAGCAATATATTGCCAATTTGCTATTTGTATTAAACTCTGTCTGTACCAGTGCACCGCTGATCCTTTGTGCTGATTTTTATTTAAGAAATCTTCGCAGTAAAACCATAATACCCAATGGAATTATTTCATTTATAATAGAATCAGTAAGTCATCTTAAGCTTTTTCGCTCTACTTTTGATTGGTTAAGTTCACGAAGCGCTTGAGTATTTATTATAAATATATAAATTCTATATTATGTTTTAACCATATAAGTAAATAATAATTACAGGTTGTGGTTTTTTTGCTCATTTTGGAAAAAAGGATTCATCAAACAAAAAATGCAAGTCTTCGTCATAAACTTATCAATAAATGTTTTAAGATCAAATTTTTTTTTCTTTTGAGAAAAAATCGTTTCCGTCCAAAATATTATTTCCGCCCTAAAAACATTGGATTAACTATGTCTCTGGTTTATTGTTATTTTTTAAAATCTTTAAATAGAATTTAAGAAAATTTAAAATACGTTATTATTATTATTATTTTTATTTGTTTAAATCAGATGTTAAAATTTATTTAAAGCAATGTTCTCCAAAAACGTTAATTTTTCGCTTTTTATGTTGTCTATATTTTATTTCTATAAATTTTAATAATTTTGTTCATTTTATCTATTTATTTTATCAATACTAAATTAATCATATTTTAATCACAAAATAATTCAAAAGTTGATGAGAAAATCGCATAAAATTACGACTTTTACCTTTCAAGGATAATCATGATCGCGCGCACGCAAAGGTAAAATTTATGTTAAATGTTGACTGGGTCAAAACCGCATCATCTTTTTCTGTGTTAAAATAAAAATTTCGGCCCCAATTTTACAACACCACTGAAAATTTTTTGTCTTTTTCTGCGTTTTCTTTATAAGTATTCATTTTTTTTTTCATTGTTTTACACTTTATTAAATAGTTGTGCTTTTTTAAAAACTAGTCCGCACTACTAAGACCGCACTATGAAGTCCGAAGTTTGCACTACTAAGACCGCACTACCAAGTCCAAACTACTAAGTTTGCACTACTAAAACCGCGCTACCAAGTCCGAGCTACTAAGTTCGCACTACTAAGACCGCACTACCTAGTCCGAACTACGAAGTTCGCACTACTAAATCTGCACTACTAAATCTTCACAACTAAGTCTGCACTACTGAGTGAAAAACAATAATATAATATAAATCATATATTTACGTTGAATATACAAAACGACTTATTCCAAACTTATAAGTTTAATGATTAATGCAGCCAAAGCCGTTGATGGGTAATGCTAGAATATAGACTTCAATGCATTGTTGATTGCTATCGTTCAGCTACTTGCCAAACAGAGACCATGTAACTTAAAAATTTAATGGTTAAGCTATTAAAAGCAGCTGCGTGACTATGCTAAAACACAGCTTATAAGGCGTTGTTATTTATTCTCCTCCAGCTAATCGTCTTACAGAATCAATGTACCAAGATCCCAAAAACCGGTTTAACTCCTAATAGAACGTCGCAATCAGTGACTGGGACGTACAAACGTCTTAACCAGCAATCTAGGTGACGTGAGAATAAACATTATAAAAGAAATTAAAGTCAGAAAAATAGCCTAAAGAAACTTTAAAGACAGGCTTATAGTAAAGCAAAAATGCATTTATCAAAAAAAGTGAATTTTCAGCTGATCCTCTTAATATTAACTAACTGATATAATTTTATTATTACTAGAACTCATGGTGGCTCTAAATTGGAAAGACATTTATCATTTTATTAACAATGTTAGTTCAACGTTGCTTCAAGACCTTACAAACAATGTTGCTTCAACGTTAGTTTGACATTTGTCGTTATTGTGATGTTTCCTTAAAATATAAAAGATTAAAATGCAAAACTCTTTATTAAGAATAAAACACATAAAATGTTAAAAAAATCTGATATTCTTAGTATAATATTTTGTATTTAATTACTTTTAATATGGAAAAGTTTTAAAATAGATTTTATATATATATATATATATATATATATATATATATATATATATATATATATATATATATATATATATATATATATATACATATATATATATATATATATATATATGTATATATATATATATATATATATATATATATATATATATATATATATATATACATATATATATATATATATATATATATGTATATATATATATATATATATATATATATATATATATATATATATATATATATATATATATATATATATATATATGTATATATATATACATATACATACATACATAAAGTTAAGGTGCTCCAAGAAGACCTATCTGTCTTATCACACGGCAACACAGAGAAGTGTTTTGCCACGAAGTTCATGCCACCTTCCTTGCCAAAGTTGCAAGAGCCAGCGTCGAACCTCGAACCTCTTGCTTCTAACTACTGCGCCACGGCTGCTTAAAAATATATTATGATATCATATTTTAAAAAGTTTCATCATATATGATATATTAAATATAATATCTTATATATATTATCATCATATATAATATATTATAATGTTTCATCATATATAATATCATATGTTATAAAGTTTCATCATATATAATTAAAAATATTGAGCCTCTTTTAATTTTTTTTTTTTAATTTTTTATTAGGGCTGTTTAAATTTTAAATTTGTTTATCATTAAAAAGAGTTTTAGTCCCCAACCACAGTATATTTTTGTATAACCTCGTTATTTCTTATTAGAAACATAAAAAGGTTTGTAATTTATAACATTCTTGTAAATTATCTATCTCAAAGACCCAAAATTGCGTTTTAGTTGTACATATTTAATAAAGTCTATAACTTTTTTTATTTTAAAGTAAAAGGAATACATTGAACTAAAAACGATTAATACTACATTAATAATGAACAAAGTTAAAAGTTTATCTCACTTTGATTAGTACGATTTAAATTTCTAATAAACTTTATTCAATCAATAAAATAAAAAATATTTTTATTGAAAGATACTAAAATTTCTAATCAGATTCTACAGATGCCAAGTCAAAGATTAGAGGATTCATGATATTGGTTCAAACCACCAAAACAATCCATCAATTTACCCCAAAATACGTATGAATGTAAAAATGTACGTACACATGACGTTTTAGCATAATATAATTATGTTAACTGTGATTTTATGTTAACCTCGATTCCGAGGTTCATAAAAGTTTAAATAAGATTACAAAAATAAACTACAAAGATAAATGATCCGGAAGTAAGCTTTTTCATCTATAAAAGTGCATTGTTTGAGGTAGATTACAATTTCTTTGAAAGCAATTATGCATTATTCCGACATTAGATTCTACTCTGTATTTAAAAGTGTTTTTACGTAACCGTTCAAAAGTTATGTATCACTTCGATATTGCATTGACTAAAGTTTGATTTTTTTAAATATTGGCACTTCCCAATGATTAGCTGCAAGCAATTATAATGTCAAATTTATTAAAACATTTGCTAATTTAAATTTAAGCTTATGTTAACAATCTGGTAAAAAAAAGTTTAAAATAAACTCATTCTCACAAACATTTCAGTTGACAAGCAAGTTTTGGTCTTAAAAATACTGTCTATAAATCTACTGTCAATCAATTTTCTTTCCCCTCCTCTTTTTTTTTATTTTGAATATAAGTTCTGAAGAATCCGATAAGTATTGTTGTTTATTTCATAGTTCATATGTTAAGTTGCAGTCAGTTAACAAAATAAACTGCCTCCTATTCTTGAGCAAAAAGCAAACGGTTGAATAAAACTATTATTTTATAGTAATTAAAAAAATAGTATCATTCATTAAAAAGTATCAGAGTTCTTAAAAGAACAGAGCAGTTACAAATTAGTAGAAAATCACTTAGCAAAATTTTTTCTCATTTAACACTGTGTTTGATCATTTCTGATGAGTCTTTATTGATGAAACACAGTGTTAAATGAGAAAAAATTTTGCTAAGTGATTTTCTACTAATTTATATATATATATATATATATATATATATATATATATATATATATATATATATATATATATATATATATATATATATATATATATATATATATATATATATATATATATATATATATATATATATATATATATATATATATATATGTATGTATGTATGTATGTATGTATGTATGTATGTATGTATGTATGTATGTATATGAACTACGTCATAACAAGTTTTAATTGCCTTTGATCTAGTATAATTGTTAAAAAAAAATTAATTAGACTTTATGAATATCTTCAATTAATTAATGTTGATCTATTGATTTTTTAAATGCTGGTTTTATCATTAGAAATCTTGATGTATCCGGTAAATTACTAGGCGTTATCTCGGCGTAAAGCACCAATACATCTTTGAAGATGTAAATTCTAAAAAAAATATATAAAAAAACTAGATTATAAACTATTGTCTTTTTAAAAATTACAATAAAATTATAAAAAAAATCAAAGAATTGATGACGTTATGATGCTTACTTGTTAGCTATTTTCTTTAGGCTCCCCATGAACCTATAATTATCTCAATAGCATACCAGTTCAAATTTTCCGAAAATTTTTGAATTTTTTTTGTTTATAAATACAAATTGTTGAATTATATTCGTTCCGATCTTTCGCCTTTTTATTGTCTTTAACATGTGTTATTAATTTTATCCAATCATTATCACTTCGGGGCATTTGATTAAATATTTTAGTAATACGAAACAATTAAACTAATTAACTAATGTTTTACTACAATAATTAATTACTAAATAACTAAAGTAATTCAAGAAAGTTTTGTTATAACTTATGAGGTTAGAAAAATCAAACAAAGTTTTTTTAATTTTATCTATGATTTTGGTGTAGTTTTATATTTTTCCAGATGATAAATGAGTAAATTGGAGCAATTTGAATTTACGCATTTTAAACTCATGCACCTATTTTTTTAAACTGATGTACCTAAAATACTTTTAGATAAGTTGTAACCGATTAATCAGTATTTCTTTGAGAATTAATTAAACATTTAATGGACTGAAAATAACACAACTAAGAGGTTGCTCTATAAAATACACAACCAGAATGACATCATTCAACACGGAGTTATTAAATTTAGCGTGTGGAAATAATAGCAATAATAGGGTGCTTTTTTCAGAGGCACTACCGGCTCCATTAGTTATTTTATTGTTAATTTGATCGTGAAAACTTTTTTGCCATACCAGATGGAGCACCACTAATTAATCATAATTAATATTATACATTAGTTAATATACATATATTTAATATTCAAATATATAATTAAAATACATCAATTAATAATATACCATTTGCATCAATTATACTCTATTCTTGTTTTTTTGTATTTTAAGGCTTGAATTTTTGGTGGAACGTAAACTGTGATTATAAACTGTTCAAAACTTTTTATGGTTTAAAATAACAGCATTTTAGGACATTTTTATATTTTTTATAGATAACTTTCTAAGGTTTCTATATTAAATGAATAAGATCTAGAAAAATTTGTTGAATGTAGATGAATGTAGATTGAATGTATATCTTTTGCAAAAATCTTGTAGCTATTGTTCAACACCGCATTTATTCTTTATCCATGAAAATTCAACTTAACTAATGATTTGCTGAAGCATACTCATATGCAAAGAATCTGATCTGCTAAATAGTAAGCCCTTAATTCATATTTTTTTAGCATTTGCTAGTTATTTTACCAAAATTATTTCTTCTTTTGTTAAGAATATATTTTTTTGGTTTCCTTATATAACTATCCGCCTATTACAAATTTCTTAAACAACATTAACTGATTTATTAAAGGTAATTTTTATAAAATGTTTTATCAATATTACAATCTTATGTGCTTTATCTAAACCCTTTTTATTAAAGAGCAAAATTTACTGCGTTAAACAAACTTTCTTGCAAAAAACATCAACCTTACTATTTGCCATTTAAGGACTAATGAATATTTGAAAAAATATCTAATTATTTATTTTATTCTACATCAAAATAGCTGTTCAGAAATCTAATACAGTTATATAACCAATTTGATTATCGAATCAGGACATCATTTTAAAAATCAGGACATCATTTTAAAAATGAGAACATCATTCAAAAAATCAGGACATCATTCTAAAAATCAGAAAATCATTTCTAAAAATCAGGACATCGTTCTAATAATCAGGACATCATTCTAAATATTTTAATTACTAACAGCGATAGAATAGATTATTCAAATGGCAAAATAGATAAAAAACAACTCGATTGCATTGTTTTATATTGAAATAAAGATAAAATAAACATAAACATATTGTCTTAAAAAATACAGTTCCTAAAAAAGGTCTTTAAAGGTTGAACTATGCTATTCTGGACTATTATGGAACTCATTGGAACAAAGGAAAATTTTCTTTTCAAAAATTTCTTTTAAAAAATGTAACTTTATAATACATATTTCATAAATGTCTTAACGAATGTACTCACACATTTGTGGAATATGTTGACACATTAGTCGAATATGTTGACACATTTGTCGAACATGTTAACACAATTATAAAGAGAATTCTTTAGTATTGCTTGCTTATGCTTTTTTTTTAAAAAACAATTACTTTTTTTTGAAAGATTTTTTTTTTTTAGCTCACTTATTTTTATAGTGTTTTAAGAAAAACTTATTTAGATTATTTTCAAGTCTATATGTAGAGGTTAATTCCGCTTTTTTTATTTAATAAGCATTCTTAATTTGCATTGGTAATTATTTCAAACTTTTGTTTTTTTTAGAAATATTATTATTCGCAGTTGCTGTTTTAAGTATGGACCAATTCAAAATAAAATCAACAATTTTTTTATGTTTCAATTCCCATATGTATTTTGACGGCATGGTGTCTTTTTAATACTTTTATTTTTAAAGGATTGTTTAAGCCAAACAAAGCGTTATTTTTTTTCATTCACCTTCTGTTAAGTCAATATATTGTTTATCAGGTACATTCTTAGAAGGAATAATACATTTATATACCACTTTTTTTGATTAATATTTTCTACTTCTTGGACAATCTTTTTATGTTTCTTTTAATTACGATTTTCTGTAACTTTTTCAATTTTTTTTTTGTTTAATAAAACGTTGTGACCTTTTATAATTCTTTCTAAATTTTTTGTGCAACTGTAGCAACTTTGATTGTATTTCGATTAAAAAAATCCCTATTTCAATTAATAACAGGCTAAACCAAAACTCTTCTGATAAAAATGTATTCAGTTCCTCTAAAGATATTTACCATTGTAAAGTAAAAGTTTTATGCAATTTATGTTAGGACGGGAAGTATTTATCTACTAATTTTAAAAACAATTTTCCTATGTTTTTGGAAAAAAATTCTATATCGGAGGTTGAGCTAAATTATGTTTCGAATTCTATTTTGCTTTTTTTTATTTTATTTTTTTTTTTTAGGGTTTTAACCATGCTAAAAAGCGAAATAGAACTAGAAACATAATTTTGTTCGACCTCTCATATAGCAAAAATGTTTCTATAAACATTAGAAAATTGTTTTTAAAATTGGTGGATAAATACTTCCCGCAATCTAATAAATTAAATAAAAGTTTTAATTTAGAAAGGTAAATATTTTTAAGGGAACTGAGTATATTTTTATCTGAGAAGTTTTGGTTTTAGCCTGTTATTAGTTGAAATTGGGATTTGTTTTAGAATTTCGGGTGGATGGTTTGAGTTAATATTAATATAGAATAATTTATCATACAATTTTTTTAAAAGCTTGTATGAATTTTCAGAAAGGCTCTATGTGAAATCAAGAAAATTCACAATTTTTAAATTTATACTAATTTCAATTTGAAAGTAATTTAAGAAAAAGAAATTTAAACTAATTTCATTTTTCAAAAGCTTTAAATATTTTATTAAATATTATCAATCTGTGGACCAGATTGGGATAAAAGCCTAAAATCTCTCTCTCTTTCTCTCTCTCTCTTTCTCTCTCTCTCTCTCTCTCTCTCTCTCTCTATTCCCTATTAAGAAAATTTTCGCCACTTCCCAACTCTTGTCTAACTTTAGCTTTGTTTATTTCTAGGGATTCTCGAATTTTCCGAATATGATTTTCTGGAGCAACTGATAAGGTTTTCGGGTTTAGCCAGTCAAACGTACCTTGACATGATTTGGAATGCTCAGTAGCACCCGAACTGGTCCATTTTCCTTTTTTAATTTTTTTTTCGGTGCTCAATACATCTTGATATAATTTTCTTTTTGGTTTCACCAATGTATATAGAGCTGCATGAACATTTTATTTGGTAGACGCCTAGGTTTGTATTTGGAGGAAGTTTTGTTTTATTGTTACAGAATATATTGTTTAAATTTGGAGTTGATGTAAATATAACTTTTATGTTTTGTTTTTTAAATTCTTTTCTAAGTTTTGGGACCAAAAATTGGTATCCATGGTTGCTTTATAAATGGTTGGTTGTCGATTGGTTGATAATTCGTATTTATTTCATCTATTTTTATATTTAACTAATATCTTGCAATATTAGTTAAGTTGTTCTTTTCGTGCCCGTTTTCAACAAATATTTTTATTAAAAAATCAATTTCTTGTTGGAGGTATTCTTGTGAACAAAAAATATCTCCAACAAGAAATTCTTTTTGCACGACATAAAAACCCTTTGAATATATTATATACGCCATATTGTATACGCCATATTGAATACGTCAGTGATAATATTAGGATTGATATTCGAGTTTGGTTTAAGCAGAATATTAGTTATTGCTTCTTTTCTATGTATTTGAAATTCGTAAGCTCCATGCATTGTGTTCGTAATAGTAATATCTAAAAATTTAAGTTGTTTTTGATTGTTTTTGAGTTTAACGGTGTATTTGATGGCAGAATTTTGTTCGTTTAGGATACTTAGAAACATTTGTTGTTGTTTTATTGAGTCAAAGCGAGCGTGACAATCGTCTACGTATCTCATGAAAGTTTTTGGTTCACATGTATGAATAGTAGCTATATTAAGTGCCGTAATTTTTGAATTTTGCAGAAACGCTTCCGCCATAACAGCCATCAGGGACAAACCTATAGGACCTGAATTAGGTATTATTCGGATTTTGTTATCATATGAAAAATAGCAAATACTCAATGAAAGTTCTATTTTTTTATTGTATGTCTACAAGCGAAAGTTTTGTTCGAGTCTTCAAGTCGCCGATGTCATTATTTAATATATAAATAATAACTGGAATAGCTTCGTTAATAAGTATAGACGAATTTTTGTTGGAATTTAGTTGTAAGTGTGGGTGTTGGGTCATAATCAATAATTCTGCTATTTTTAATTTGTTCTTTTAGTTTAAGACATGCATCCCTTTCATATGGTAATGCGAAACCTGTGCCTTTATCAAAGGGATAAACCCTAATATCTGAATTCGTCTTTAATTTTCTTTAGAAATACGTTGTAAATACGTTGTTGATAAGTTAAATTATCTTTTAATCTTAGTTTTAATGAATTTTTCAAAATTTTAGATCAGTTTTGTCTTACAGATTCTGCCTGTGTTGATTTATTCTGTTTTTCAAGTCGCAAAGCGCACATTTTAACATTTGTTATAATATCAATATAGGGGATTTTCTTCTGTAATGGTACAAACTTTGAACCTAGGGTGAGTAATTCATTTGTTGCTTCATCCAAAATAACATTAGTTAAATTAAGTATAGCAGAACTTGATTCGGAAAGTCTATTCTAGGAGTATTTTTTATATTCAATTTAGCTTGTAACTTATTATATTTTTCTTTCATTTACGTTTTTTTCTTAATATAATGGTAATTTTTTAATTTGTTAAATATACTATTAATTAATTCATAGTCGTTTAATCTTACTTTATTCTGAAGAGATATATTTAATTCATCAATTAATTTCTTACTTGAGTATAATCTGTGTTTTGGAATACAGAAAAAAGATAAAATATTATCTTTTTTCTGAATTCCTTCATTGGAGTTTTTATTCTAAACGATTTTGGAGTTATGTTATTTAATATGCATTTTTGAAGAAAAAAGAATAGGTTTTTTGCGTAAGCATTTCGCATCTTCAAATCTTGTAACTTTTTGGTATCACCGTAAATCTTTTTGCGTAAAAAGAAGTAATGTAATCTTTGAAAGTCGTATTCTTGTTACACGCGATAATGTAGGGGAGACCGGGGTTGGTTGCAACAAAATTTTAAAAACGTAACTTATACCCTTTAAATATATATTTTTTCGATTTTATTTTTCAGGGTTATAAAATAGATTTAAGTTACGTATTAATCCAACATTGATAAATAAAATATCAAATTTAGTTATTCCGCAATAGTGAAACAAAAATATGTTGCATTTTACCCCGCACCGGGGCGAATTGCAACAGTGCACGGGGCAAGTTGCAACACAATACTTTTAAAGTATAAGCTTTGCAGAGTTCACATAAAAATTACTAGTTAATCTGTAATTTCTATTTGGCAACAAAACATTATAATTAAAAGAAAAGAAAAGTAGTATTTTAGACTTGACATGTACCTGACATGTTTAGTAAACTAATGCTTACATTCAAAGACTTTAAAAACTGAAGAAAGAAAATAATGAGGATTATTATTTAAGCTCATATATTATTTAAACTTTTAAGTGTTTTTTTAAAAAAGTATTCCTTTAGTTATTCAGTAAACATTAAATCAATTTATAAAAATGCAAGAGTAGTTTTATAAATAATATAAAACACAACTTTCATAAAAATAAACAATAATCTAACTTTGATAACAAAAAAAAAAATTTCCAAGCAATAAAGGCTCATAAAAAAACAAACTAGCATTAAAGAAACTAAAGAGTTTCATTACATTTCAAGTCAACAATTATACTTTTTTATTGTTTTTTTTTTTGATGCAGAAGTACTAGCAGATTTTCGCTTTCTAGAACTAATTTCTTTTTCAGCCATAAGACGCTGTTTTACTGGTGTATCTGTGAGTACTTCTGTATGCTTTCTCTTTGATCTAGTGAGTATTTCTTTCCTGGGTCGTGCTTTTGGTAGCGGTCTTACAACCTCAGGGGAAAATTTTGAAACTGCAGATGGAATTGCATCTGAGGTTGAAGTTGATATACTAATATCAATAGCTGCATTAGATTGGGTTGCTGGACGATCCGTAACAAATGATGGAGCAAAATCTGCATCTGAAAATATATCCTTATTATATGGCAATATTCCTGCCACTCTAAAACCAGAAGATATATTTTGTTGTGTAAGAGAATGTTGTAATGCTATTTTTGCAATTCCTGGTAAATCATATATACTCATTGTTTTCCCTGGACTACTTTTTATCCATGAGTCTTGTGCATTAGCTAAGCATTTTTTAAATGGTCCGAATACAGATCTATCTAGAGGTTGCAACTTATGCGAACAATGAGGAGGGAAAGAAAGCAAAACTATACCATTATCTTTACACAATGTTATTAATTGAATAGATAAATGAGATTGATGATTGTCTAAAAGTAATAACACAGGGCTTTCTTTTGATGGCTTTACATGTCGAATAAAGTGGTTTATGTAAGTAATAAAGCACTCCTCATTCATCCAGCCTGATCCATTCGAAGCACCAATGCAGCCATTTGGCCCATCACGAATAAAGTGATCAAAGAATTTCTTTCTTGGAAAAAGAAACATTGGAGGCACACTATTGCCATATGCATTTACGGCTATTACCATTGTCACTAATGTCCCTCGCTCTTGAGAAGTTAATGCACCCACTTGCTTAATGCCTTTACGAGCAATTATTTTGTTTGGTTTTTGCACAGTGGTGATACCAGTCTCATCAACATTAAAGATATTTGATGCAGAAAAATGATGCCTATCTAAAACATCTGATAATTTTTGAAAAAAAACACCTACATTAGCACGATTAAAGCTAGTTGCTCGTGCAAGACTTGTTGCTTCTGGAGTTCTGATAGACAATCTTGGATGTCGGTTTAAAAACCCTCTCATCCAATCAGGACCAGCCATGGAATGTTTTAACCACGATTTGGGAAAAATAATACCATACTTTACTGCACATTCAAATGCAAGCTTTCTTGTTTCATATGGTGATAATCCAAAATAGATATCAGAACATATTGATATATATGAAGCAATAGCTATTTCTTGTTCATAAGTAAAAACTTGATTCTTTTTATATCCAGGATAAGGTAGTGGCATTCCCATATCAACAGCTTTTTTAACTTTTTTTATATAACGAGAAAGAGTCGAGTAGTGGATTCCAAACTTTTTTGCTGATGCACGAACTGATGTTACTCTTCCATCAATAACGTGGCTTGCTGCCTCTATTACTACTTCTTTTGGATAAAGTCCTTTTTCAGTTTTTCTCTTGTAAGTTCGCATTTACAATTTTTATTAAACCTCTAAATAACATAACAATAAAAAAACACATTACAAAAATCATTTTATATAATTTAGTCTAAATTGCTACATTTATTTATATACCTATTAATGTTTTAAGTATGTACTTAATAATAATAATATTTTAATAATGTAATTATAACTTTTACGTATGTATGTATATAAATGTATATATATAAATGTATATATATATATATATATATATATATATATATATATATATATATATATATATATATATATACATTGTATATATATATATATATATATATATATATACTGTATATATATATATATACACACTGTATATATATATATATACACACTGTATATATATATATATATATATATATATATATATATATATATATGTATATATATATATATGTATGTATATATATATATATATATATATATATATATATATATATATATATATATATATATATATATATATATATATATATATATATATATATATATATATATATATATATATATATATATATATATATATATATATATATATATATATGTCTTTGAATATAAAAGATAAGTTTATATTCTATGTTTATATTTATATTCGAGGATTATATAATCCTCGAATATAAATATAAACATAGAATATAAACTTATCTTTTATATTATTAGACATATATACATATGCTTTATAAATATAACATACATATGTACGTTACATAGTCTTATCTTTAAAATTATAATTTTTTTTCAAAAACTTCTTTGCTGTCTTGTTATTAAAAAAAAGTCGATTATTTAGAAAAGTGCGTAAAATTAATAAAGTCCGCAGTTCTTTTGTGATTCAACTTACCCCGAGCAATTTGATGCAACTTACCCCGTAGGCATCATGATCACTCTAATCAATGCATACAATTAGCCATATTAAAAAAATCTATTTTTTTTTACTTTTTGTGTTTGAAAAAGATTTTTTTAACTTACTATTATTTTATTATTGTCATATACTTCTTAGTTTTTTGTAAAACCCAAAAAAACATTGAAACGAAAATTAGAAATTTATATAGAAAAAAAACAATTATCAATAACTTTTAAATTTTTAAGTTTATTACTATAAGTTTTTTATAACTTGCGTGTCATAATTATAGTTATATAATGTAAAAAAATTGAAAAATAATATGTAAAAATTATTCTTTAAAACGCATTGTTGCATCTTACCCCTGTTGCAACCAACCCCGGTCTCCCCTATAACAGGTACGTTGTCCGGACCGCAAGCTGTAGAAGAGTCTAAACAGGAAATTACTTTAGATACAGAAGCTATAGTGGTACGAAGGTTAGGGAAATGGATTAACCAGATTGTCGGCTACATCAGGAAAAACGCAACTTTTAGAATCAAGAGATGATATTAATAAGAAGTTCTTAACAAACAATTCACCTTTGACTTTAGGTAAGATGATAAAATATGAACCGTACAAGAGACGTGGAATAACACGTTGACTCTTATTATAGATGCTGTTTAAGATTCTCCAGAAGTTACAAGAATCTAATTTTTGAGATGAAATATGAGATTTCATGACATAAGAATAGCAGGGCTTTGGCGCAGATATACGAAAACATCAAGGATACCGCTACTCAAGCTATAATTGATATGCGCTGAAGAGATGTTGGCAAAAGTCCAATATGCATTGAAATCTTACACCAATAATCCGAAAATGATAATTCGTCCAATGAAGAAGCTTCAAATGCTACTGTAAAGAAGCTACATGGGCAAATAAAAACACTGATAATAATTGTCCGTTAACTTATGCCAAATGCGAGATAGCACGTTAAGTTTATGTAGGAGTTGCAAAAGACAACGAAGATATTATTGAATATTGGAAGACCAATCCACAAGATTTCTTTATCTCAGCAGACTATCAAGAAAGATTTTGTGCATCCCTGCATCATCAGCTACCTCGAAACAAGTATTTTCAACTGCTGGAAATGTTGTATTGGAAATAAGAAATAGCCTTAGCATTGACAATATTGAAATGATGGTTCTCATGAAAGAAAAGGAGATAGAAAATATCACCTGGGCGATGTTTGAAGAAGATAACAATAATAAAATGAAAAAATGTACAAAAAATATACTTACTTATGCATAACAATTTACTTTTTTTCATTGTTGTTTTTCATTAAAATTTGTTTCAATTATTATGAAAAGTTGATAATATTGCCATCAGATGGCCTGCGTACCATCAGGTGGCCTGTGTACCATCAGGTGGCCTGTGTACCATCAGGTGGCCTGTGTACCATCAGATGGCATTTGACAAGTAGATAGATCACAGGATAACGAAAAAAATTCAAAAAATATATAAAAAATTTTATTAAACACCGAATTCGGCGATGTGGCATAACTGAATCTGAAAAATGTTGTAGATATATCTAAGCTAGTGACCAATATCCTAACTAAATTAAACTTCTTTTTTTAACGAATATACTCGCAACTGCTTATTTGCTGAACGATTATTTTATTCGTACAACGAATAATGGGGAACGAATATTTGCAAAGGATTAATATGTTGAACAAATATTATTCGTTCAGTAATCGTTCAACGAATAAAATGAAAACGAAAGAATATTCGTAACTGTTTAACGAATAATCTTTAAAAAACTCGTTTATCAAATAATCGTCGCGCTCAAGTAGTAAAGCATCTTTATACACAATTTTAAACTTTAAAGTTCTTTTATTAAAAATGAGTGTTTTTGTTGACGAGCCAGTTTTAGCAAATGATATTTTTTAAACTATAGATGGAGAGTGATCAAATTTTCAGGCAGATGTAGAGTGATCAAATTTTCAGGTAATGTTTATACTTGCAACTTAAGCTACAAACATTTGAGTTTTGACTTTTAAGTCAAAAAATATTTTTGTCAAAATTTTAGAAAATTTTTTGACTAAATATTTGGGGGTGATCGAGGCAAAAATCATAACATTTTTTTAGTTTAAGTTTTAGACCTTGCTTTAAAGAGTCTTGTGTCAATGTTTCATTTAGAAGTCATCTGCTAAAATCATAGACTTTTTCCACTATTTCCGCCATTATAGTTGTTTGCTATGATTTTTTTTTTAATAACTTGCACTAATTTTTAAAGACCTTTTAGAAAATATATAATTTTATAGCATGCAATTCCAAATTACTGATTTAGATTTATCAGGGGGCATACTCCTAAATAGAAATTCGATAACTCATTCAAAAAATTAGTTAAGCAATGAATGAATAAAATTTCTCTAGAGTAAAGCTCGATTTTTGCGGCTCTGGCTCCACCAAAAAACAGCGGCTCTGGCTCAGCTCCACAAGCCAGCTAAAAACTATAACTTTTCAAAGAAAAGATTGTAAATATTAAGATATTATAAAATGTAAATATTATAAATACATTAACTATAACTTTTCAAAGAAAAGATTGTAAACATTAAGATATTATAAAATGTAAATATTATAAATACATTAAGATATTATAAAATGTAAATATTATAAATACATTAAGATATTATAAAATGTTTTTACTGTTTTAATATTTTTTTTTTCTATTCGAAACTTAATTTACAGTTATTTTTAAAGAGTTTTTATGAGTGGCGTGATTTAAAATCTAGCGGTCTTTTTGACCAGAATTATGCTCTAAATATGATCTAATTTACCACGCTTTCGAAATTCAGGTTTAAATAATGGCGAAAAGAATAAAACATTTTATTTTGAGTTTTAATTTAAACCATTAATAAGAATGGATCAACTCTTCATATTTATTAAAAGTTAAAAAAAAGCTAAACTTAAACATATTATTCAATAAAAATAAATAATGTTATGTAATAGTTTTAATGTTTTTAATTTGTTATAAATTATTATTTATAATATTATTAGCAACCGAGTAAAATGTAAACTTATTAAAATGTAACATAACAAATTACAATATAATACAATTATAGTATTATATTATAATATAAACTATTTCAAAGTCATTGTTTATTTGTTTAATTTATATTTCAATTGCCATTAAACTAAAGAAATAGTCTTTTTGGTGTTTTGAAACATTTACCCAAATATATAAACAACAACAGCAATAATTTTTTTTTTAATTTTATTTGAATTTTCAAGCTATATTTTTCTATACAATGTTCAATTATCCGAATTTATTGTTGGCTTAACATAGGAACAGCCACAAATAGTCATTAAGACTAATCCAAAGTAGTGTCCGTTACATAACAATGATACATTTACCAGAAATATATATATATATATATATATATATATATATATATATATATATATATATATATATATATATATATATATATATATATATATTAATTGGGAATTTCTCGGTCTTAAAGAAGTTATCTGATACACCCTAAGTGTATCAGGTAATTTTGAAAAAATGTTTAATTTACTTATAGAAAATGTTTCAAAAACAATTTTATTTAAAATATAATTGTTAAGCAATTTTCCAATTTGAGTGATAGTATCATGATACTATCATATTGGAAAATTGTCATTGATAGTATATTGATTAAATGAAAATTGTCATGGGTATTATATTCATATCAATATACTACCAATGATATCACATAAAATAGCACACTGTTGTATCTAATATACTTTACAACTTTTTACTATACAATAGTTGGCTGTGCCTTACCCTTAAAACTTTTCTTTATTAACTTTCTAAACATACCAAATTCTTAACTATTCTTTTTTTTTTTTTTTTTTTTTTTTTGGTTAGAAAATCTATTGATTTTAATTGATGACTCTGTTATCTTGTTTGGAAATTTGATTCTAATCTCTCTTTTTTATTTGTCTTTTATTTTTTATTACATTCTTTGCATTTTAAAGATTTAGCAATCAAATTAAACAAATCAAATGACATGTGGGCAAAGGTCTGCCATTATGTTCATTTTGAAACACTTTTGAATATAAATTGTGATATTTTTGTATATCAATTACAGGAACAGTCTCAACTATAAGCTCTTCTATGGTTATTTCAGTTCCAAAACAAAGCCTTATTTCCAGGGTCAATAATCTTTTTCTTATTGTATACTATCTAACTTTCAAAACATTAAATGTGATGTTTAATAATACGAAGTTTGTTTAAAATATTAAAAATTTGTTTTATCTTTGATCTAATAGTAATTAAAACATCGCTCTAATAATTATAAACATGTTTATAAAATATTTACCAAGTTAATAATTATAGACTTATTTTTATATTTACAATTATTAAGGAATATTTTATATGCCTAAAAATCAAGCATGTTAAGTCATGTTTACTGGATAAGTATTAACTTTTGGAACAACCTTCCATATTAAATAAAAGCTGTCAGTTCATTCTCAATCGATATATAAACTAGTTTATTATTTTTATAATCATTTTAATTAAGATATTTTTTTTAATGATTTTTATTGTTATTGTTGTTATTGTTATTTGTTATTGTTGCTGATATTCTTATTACTTTACTGTTATTATTAACATTGATACAACTTTCAATTGAGACAAGTGATTAATTAAATACTCCTGAGTTGTAACAACTAAACTAGACTGAGTTGTCAAAGTTTTTAAAATTGGTATGAGGGAGACTTTGTTATATTGCCAAACCACATGGTATTTTCCCACTAAATATTTTTACCATTAAAATTATCCTTAAAATTAGACACTGAATACATTTGAAATATAATAATTAATTTCCATCATCATAAGTACATATTAACATTAACTATTTACATTTTGAATGTCCATACTTATATTCCCAAGTATAAATATGGACATTCAAAATTTCAATGACTAATCAATCGTATTTGAAGCATGGTTGACCTCTGGTCTGATCGTTTTAAAAGAAATAATACTTGATAATGTTCCATCTAGTTATAATTTAGTTGGATTAAAATAATGCTAATGAAAAGTGTTAGAATACATATATATATTTTTTTAATGATTTTATAACACCACAAAAATAAATTTAATTAAAAATTATTGACTAATAGTCACACAAGTTTGATTTTTTCTATTAAATACTTTATTCAACATTTGTAAAGCTTTTTTAAGCAGTTCTAAAAAGGTTTAATGAAACCATTCTCAAGTAATAATATATGACTTTGAAATCGAAAAGAAATTGTTTATCTCCCACAAAATAAAAAATCTGACAATTAAAATAAAAAATTTGTACTAAAAAATTTAAAAATTTAATCTATCGTCCAGTTACTACGCGATCATACACGTTGTTCCTTTTTAATAATTTTTTTACTTTATATTATATGTTTTGCTACTTAATTATTTTTAAATAGCTTATTTTTTTTGTACTTTTTTTTTTTTTGCTTCATATGAATATATGTGGTCTTAAATAATAATACATATATATATATATATATATATATATATATATATATATATATATATATTTATTTATATATATATATATATATATATATATATATATATATATATAAATATATATATATATATATATATATATATATATATATATATATATATATATATATATACTTATATATATATATATATATATATATATATATATATATATATATATATATATATATATATATATATATATATATATATATATATATTAATAGATTTTAAATGGTGAGATGGCTGAAAATAATTCAACCTGTATTGTATTAAATGATGGGCAGCTAATGCCTCGGTTTGGTTTGGGATGCTTTAGTTTAAGTTCAGATGAAACCAAGCAAGCTGTTATAACTGCTGTTAAAGAAGGATATCGTCTTTTTGATACTGCAGTCTATTATAACAATGAAAGAGAAGTGGCTAAAACTCTTCAAAACAGTGGATTACATCGAAATGAATATTTTATAGTTACAAAGCTTCTCCCTAGTGAGAATAGTTACTTAGGTGCAAAGAAAAGCTTAAAAGATAGTTTGAGGAAAATGGAATTAGATTTTGTTGATTTGTATCTTATTCATTCTCCATTAGACTGGGGCAAAACACAGTTTGACAGTTCATCTGAACAGAATTTAATAGAAACATGGCAAGGTTTTTGTGAATTAAAAACTGAAGGATTAGCTAAGAGTATAGGTGTATCCAACTTCAATATTCAACATCTGCAAACAATAATTAACAAAGGAATGTTAGTTCCTGCTGTTAATCAAATTGAAATGCATCCTTGGAATCAATATGTAAGTTTTTTTTTTTTTTTGAAATATTGTAAAGGATCAAAGTATTTTTAGTAACTCTCTTGTAAGTTTTGAAAGGAAAAATCAATTATTAATAATTGCTTATGTTACAAGCTGTAAAGATTGATTATAATCTATTAGTCTACAAATCAACTTAAAAACAGAATATTTCTCTACTCTTTAATATTGTCTTAGTCCAGATCATAACAGGCTGGGTAAATATTCCAGCCAGTCAATTCAATATTTTTAAAATAATTATTTGGATAAAAAAGATTTAAATTTATAGTTAATGTTTTAAATAGTTATTATTTAGTATTTTATAACTTATTATTTATTAATAAATATTTATTATAACTTATCAATTTATTTATTAAATAAGACTTTTAACAACAACTGCGTTTTCAGTAAAACTTAAGAAATAATAATCATCAAAGTTATAGAAATAATAATCATCAAAATAATAATCATCGGTGTTTGGAGACTGGAAACAACAAAAATCTTAAAATGTTAGCCCCCTTCCCCCCAATCCATTCCCAAATAGGAAGGCAATGAGCAGGCTTGGCCAGGAAGGCAAAGATTTCATGTCTTTATATGACCACGCAAATAATAAATGTTTAGATAATTTAACCATGGTTTTTAACAAATGTGCTGAAAAAATTGGTTTTTGATTACGTTAAAATTAAATAACTTCAACATGTTTACCTTAACTAATGTTTTTATATGCGCAAAACGCTTTTAAATAAAGTAGCTAATGATTTTATTTAAAGTATAATTGAAAGTTGTAAATTTTTTGTTTATATTATTTAATTATATAAAAAATTTTATAAGTGAAAATAAAAAAAGTAAAAAGTAAAAAAAAAAATTTTATAACCAACAATTTCAAACAGGGAAGGTTACTTTAATAAACTTTATATAAGAATCGTTAAAGTTTTTGTTGAAAAGAAGAAAAGTAACAAACTTTTTTGAAAGTTGTTTGAATTAAATAACTTTGATCTTTACTGTTTTTATATTATTGAAAAGCATTTAAATAATGTAACAAATCACTGCCAATGATTTATTATAAAAGCAGTAATGAATAATATATATATATTTTTATATTTCTATAAGTATTTATTTTTTATTATAAATGTTTTTAAGTTAAAAAAATTATATCGACTTTTTAAATAAACAATTTAATTATTTTTTCTTTTGTGCGAAGAATTTTTAAGTATCTTGTTTTAAACTTTTAAATGTGCACGTTTATTAAACAATCATTAGATATAGTATTATGCGAAAACTTTTTAAAATTAGTTGTTACTTTATTTTAAAAAGTTTTCGCATAATATTATATATTAAAAACATTAGTAAAGATAAACGATTCAAAGTTATTTATTCCTAACATAATTTAGATAATCTTATCATTTATTATTTATTTTAGTTAAATTTAAATTTTATTTTGTTTATTTTAGTTAAGTTATTTTTTATTTTGTTTTTTTTGATTTTTTGTTTTTTTTTTACAAAGATTTATTTGCTTCTTTTACAATAAGTTTTTTTTTTAAGTTTTTCTATAGTTAAGTTAAGATTTTTTTAGAGCGTTTTTAAAATGTATACAAATTTTCCAAACATATTAACAACCGTGGTCTAGTAAAATCAAATTGTATTTGCGTGGTCATATTATGATATGAAATCGCACGCCTTCCTGGCCAATCATGAATGAATGTCAAGTTTATTTATTTTTTTTTTTTTTTCAATCTTAAATTTAGTTTATATTCATCAACAAATCTCAAAGATCTTATAAAGTTTATGACCTTATAAATGACCTTATAAAGTTTACACCCCCTCAAATTGAGGGGGCTGTAAATTTTATAAGGTCATAAAAGCCAAACAGCAAGAGATTATTGAATCAAATTTGAAATTCGTCAATGAAAATAAATTAAATTAAAGGTTAAAAAAAAAAAAAATTTGACTCATTGCTCTCCTATTCGGGGCTAGGGGGATAACATTTCAGGGTTTTTGTTGTTCCCAGTCTCCACAATTTTTTGCATAGCATCTTTATTTCTTGTATGAATGAGCATACTTAAATAAGGAGTGTTCTTCATGTTTCAATGTTGCTTAGCTCAAACATTAAAAAAAGTTGCCTACGGCCTTGATATATATAGTGAATTGTAAGTGGATAAACACCGCCTCAGAGGTTTGAACAAAGCATTAGCATACTCTTACATCAAGTGACTTACGGTAAACCAGCACTGCACCAGCAGTCCATACAGAACAAAGGCATACAAATATATTAAAAAGCCTACTCACTAAATACATCAGTGGTATTGTGAAGCAGTTCCGCTTCCTCCTCATAAATATATTTTTCCTTTTTATTTTAACCATTAAAGTTTGATTTCTAATAATTTTATGCAATAAAAACGTGCATCTAATTTGCAAAAAACAAAATAAAATCATAATTTACTTAAAATGTAATGTAGCTGAGAATGTAATGTAGTAGAATTTAATTTAGAATGTATACTTTTATATATTAGTTTATAATATATATTATAGTATAAAAAGCCAGTAGACTTAAGTAAAATATAAAGTTATTAAATGTATACATAGTGTGCAGTTTGGAAACTGATCATTATAGACTGCTGTTTCGGGGTCTGGCACATTGCAGAGTTTTTCAGACATTATAAAGACACTGCTAAATGAAAAGGTCTTTATAAATATAAATTATAATATTTTTATAGAAACTCAACAATTTAATTATTTCTTTTGTTTATCATATTTAAGAAAAATTGTTTTAAATATTCTAAATTTTGCAAACTACACAAAGCATGAAAGGATTCAGGGTTCCCACACCTCCTTAAAAACCTTAAATATCCTTAAAAAATAAAAACCTTAAATGTCCTTAAATAAACTTTAAAAAATTTAAAATTTGACTGGTCTCCCTTAATTTCTCTTTTTTTTTTTTTCATTTATCTAGAAAATTTTTTAAAGTGAATGAATTATACTTGTTAATAAAGAAGATAATATATAGATTTTTGATTTTTTTCAAACCTAATTTTGTTATTTTATATATATATATATATATATATATATATATTATATATATATATATATATATATATATATATACAGGCTTCGGCAGGAATAAAAACCGTACGGGCTATGAAAAGCCCGTCTTAAATAGACTTGACGGGCTATGAGGGCCGCCCGTCTAGATGGTCTTGCACGGGCTTTTTTAAACTTTAAAAAAAATTCTAAAGTTTGAACTTTTTTTTTTTTAAATTTGTTAAAGGGATCCCTAAGTGCTATAAAGATATGATCTCATATGATAGAGCATTCAAAAAAAAAATGTTTGATGTATATTATTTTTTCTAAAACGTAATAATGAACACACACTAACAAATTTAATTTTCAAAAAAACGCTTTTCTTCGATTAAAGAAAATGCGCCTTGTCCAAAGTTTATTGACTCTACTGCCTCAAAAAACTAACGTTAGTACGTCAAATTAAACAAAGTAGACAAAATGTCATTATTGCAAACTTATTAATTGGTAATTAAATTTAAAAGTAAAGTCGTTTTTTTTCAACTAAAACATAATTACTTACAAGAATAAGTTTTGTAGCATTTTGTGAAAATATATTTGTATATTAAATTTTTTTTTATAATATTAATTTATATATTTGTGTTATAAGGGCAATTCCACGGCTAAAAATGAATAGAAGTCAAATTTTAAACTCTTTTTAGTCAATTAAAAACAAATAAATATTGACTTAGACATATAAAAGTTTATTTAAAATATTTCCTTAGTAAAAAAATAAATTTATTTCAGTAATTTTTATGGTTTCAAAAGTGACAGTTACTCTCATTTTTGCTTGATAAAAAAAATAATGATTGTAAAATGTTTTAGTTAAATTAACATTTATGTTAAATTGCTGTATTTTTTGGTTCAAATTGATAAGGTTGAATAGACATTTTATTAGAAATTAAACTAAGACAGGGCTCGAATTAACACAAAAAAAATTTTTTTTTTTGCTCTCTCTCCTTCCCCCTCTCTCTTATAGCTCTCTCCCCTCTCCCCTCTCTCTTATAGCTTGCGCCGATGTGCGGTAACGGGGGAAAAAAATTATCGTCAATAAATCAAAAAACATCGTCAAAAATTTAATAAAAAATTAGATACCACGTTTTTTATAATTTATTGATTCTTGAATAAAGGACTAATAAAAGTTTAAATATAATTAAGTTTTTCATTTAAATGGTTGATGTTTTTATTCAATTTTTCTATTTCAAGTTTTCCAATAAAAGATAAAACAAAAAAATTTGGTTTAATAAATCGAATTATAGTTCATGTTTAAAATAAGGCTTAAAAACGTTAAAGTAAAAAAATTGCTGGTTTTTATTAGCATTTTTATACTGTTTGAAAAAAAAACTAATAAAAAAGAATTAACTAATAATATATTAATTAATAATTATATATTAATTCTTTTTTTTTTTTTTTTTTTTTTCAAACGGTATAAAAATGCAAATAAAAGTCAGTAATTTTTTTGCTCTAACGTTTTTAAGCATTATTTTAAACATGAAGTTTTGATAAACAAAGATAAAAACCAACTTTTCAACTTTTCGCTTTAACGACCTTGTAAAAATTTTCCACGCAGAGATTTAATGTAATTTAAATTCAAAAATGTTTTACGTTGAAAGAAAATCTCCGCGCGAAAGAGCAAATTATCTATTCAGAATAAAAAATTTTGTGTGATGTTCTTTATGACAAAAACATTACTTTGAAGAATTGCTAAAAAAAAATGCTAAGCTAAAAAAAAGTAATTAATCAACCAAAAAAAAAAACGAGTCGCGAAAAGATTTTTTTAAAAAAAAAACTAATCACAAAAGTGTGTGTAGCAATCGCGATCACGATACGCTTAATATGAGCCCTGTAAGACTTTTTTATAAGTTCTAAACTATTTAAAACTATTACTTAATACCTTTTTTTTAACGACGTCTTTCAACCGAATGCTATTATACTGTTTTTGCAAAACTAAT